TTTTGAGAAAGAATGGTGACCCCAAAGGATTAATGTCTGAGAACAGCATAGAGACCTTATAGATTTGGAACCTTTCCTACCAGCAGTTCACAAAAGCTTGAACTTTCTGAAGCTCACAGTATAACGCTATAATCTTTGCCAAATATTGAGCATGACTATGGCATAAATATGCAGCTACACCAAATATACACAGAGGATACATCAACATAAAGCCCCCAAAACATATGGCCAGGTAGACACAGCTATGAAAGTATACTGGAGGCCTAATATAGATCCACTATGGGCCTCACAGCTCTGTAGAATAGTAACCATGGTTAGGAAAACAGACCAAATCTTTGTTGTCCCTAAACCTTGTTCTAAAATTATGCTAATGGTGACTAATCCTTCACTCTAATGAGCAATCAAACAAACTAAAGCACAGAATTCTGAACAACATGTAGCTTTTAAGCTTTGAGTAAATACCCATTTCCAGGGACACAGTAATCTGTATCTTGGGGAAAAAGGAAAAGGAGCGGTAACTAATTTGGATAGGGGTAAAGTATTTAATAGAAAGCTTTTAAATATATAAATGTTTCCTTGTGTCAGTTTGTCAAAAAAAATGCAAGCCCTCTGTACAGGCATTTGTCAGCTGCAGACTGTAATTGGGTCCAAATCCACTAAATCACTCTAACTAAAACTAAAGTTGCATTGTTATTCCTAAGGAATTTCTGCAAGTAATGTAAAATATATTGAAATGTCACACTTTTTCTGCAAAAGAAATGAGCAGTAAGAGAAGATAAAACTACACCAAAAAACATGTGCTCTCTCCTAGTGCTTAATAAGAATAACCAAAACCTTTTGACAGCACAGATAACAAATTCACACCAAACCCTCTCCTGGCACATGCAACACTCAAAGAAGACAACCCCAATAATTTCTATTACTGCCACAGTGATGTGACAATTTGCAGCTAAAGAGAAAATGGGTTTGTGTCTGTTATTTTAATGACACTTTACAGTGTTGAATAATGATGCACCTGGACATCCTTTGGACAATTGAAAATCTCTTCATCTAGGACAAGACAGCTGACATTTGGGACACAAGCAGTCACAACTTTGATTTTTGGACATCATATGAAAAGTACATCACTGTGTTGCAGTGTTAAGCATCAAAGCATTATTTACTGATGCAGGCTCCCAAAGGAGAAAATTAGTTTCCTTTTGGTGATATATTCTCTAATTAAAGCAATACAGCTGGGAAAACTTCAATTGAGTAGGTACAGACTTGGAATACCTCAGTATGGCAAGGGTGCAAAAGTCACATATAAATAACAAAAATATGGGACAGTCCCTGGGCACCTCCAGACCTGAAATTCCTTTAAAGAAAGAAATAATAAATAAAGGGCTCTGAATTTGCTTGTGGCACAGAAAAACCCAGAAAAAAAAGTTTGATAGTGAGGATCCCTGTATACTTTCAGGGGATTTAGCTTCTCAAACTGCGCCCTTTGCTGCCACCACGTGGGCTTGCCGCAAGACACTTCTTGATACAGAAAAGTTAAAGTTTCCTCCTTTCATTTATGTCTCAAATACAGTCTTTAATCAACACGCCATGTTGCTTATCTGTTACACAGCTCAAAATCACTGCTTAATTTCAAAGAATCTAAATTACCTGAGATAATAGATGAACACCCAAGTCCCTTGCTTTTTAAAAAAGTATCAATCATATTTTGATAACAGACATAGTCACCAGATATTCAGTTCTGACTACAAGAACAGCGACCTTACACTAGTGTTCAGTGCCCTACACTGTGAAGTGCCCTACACTATGAAGTATCTAAAAGGAAACATCACTGAAAAAAAAAAAATAGTGGCTTTAAATTTTAAAAGACAGATTCCAATCGGTCACAAAATTTTTATTTCAAATAGTCGTGCTTTCACCCAGCAGACAGCTGTACAATCTAATTCAAATACCAGCAACTTGTTCATATAATTATAGAATCATTAACACTGGAAAAGACTTCCATGGTCATCAAATCCAACTGTTTACTGAGAACCAGCGTATTTATCACTAAAACATATCCCCAAGAGACACATGTCTTTTGAACACTTCCAGACACTGTGATTCCACCACTTCCCTGGACAGTCTCTTCCAATGCTCAACGACCCTTTCTGTGAAGTATTTTTTTTCCTAATACCCAACACACACCACCCTGGTAAAATTTGAGGCCATTCCCTCTCATCCTGTCAGTAGATGCCTGGGAAAAGAAATGGACCCCACCTCACTACTGCTTCCTTTCAGGTCATTGTAGTTGGTGACAGGGTCTCCCCTAAGTCTCCTTTATTCCAGGCTATACAAACCCCAGCACCCTGAGCCACTTTTCTTATGACTCCCTCCACCAGCCTCACTGCCCTTCTCTGGCCACGCTCCAGCACCTCAATGTCTTTCTTGTAGTGAGGGGCCCAGAACTGAACATAATATTCAGCTTGTGCTCTTCCCTGCAAATTCAAGTCCCTCCTGCTACATTTTTTAAGGGATATATTCACACTTTTTTAGGTTTGCTGCACTAAGACACATGTGAAGTGTCTTTAAAAAATACTTTTTACAAAACTCCCAAATTTTGGCAACTGTAAAATGTACCTTTTTTAGATATAGTTATATGACAGAGCTTTCAATCACAGGTTTCTCAAGCCCTCAAAAGGCTTTTGCTGTAGTCATCCATGCTGGCATAATGCAGGATGTATGACTTTACTACTTGTATGCCAGAAAAGGATTTTCATTGATGAGACCAAACATCTGACATAAAGAAACTTGTCAGAATCCCTCTGGTGCCAGAACCCAGGGAAAGGTGCTCCAGAGATATTGCAAGGAGAAAACAAAAAAAAAAAAAAAAACAAACAAAAAAAAAAAAAAAAAAAAAAAAAAAAAAGGCAGAAAAAAATAATGTTTTTCACTTAGTCTTATAGACAGGAAGGCTTTCTTAGCCCTTGTATTGAATGATGTGTAACCTGGGATGCCTGTGTTTCCTAGAAGCCCACAGGCTCAAAGGTCAGTTTCTCTCCACAAACACCACAACCTCCATGCAGGCAAACTCTGACCTTCATCCTGGAAACCAGTCGCTCTGGTGACAATCATTTCAGCAAGGCGCTGTGGTAAAAGATCCAGACAGAGCTGTTCTTTTGCACAGAAGTACAAACCATGAAGCAAATAGCTTTCATAAGGATTATATTTACTCAGGAAAAAAAAATGCACTCCTTGAAACACTTCATTAGGGCAACAGGGAGCAGTTGGCTTTGATGACATTTGTTGTGGAAACCCTCTTTTCAAAAGTACTACACATTGTTCTACCCCAGCCTTGAGAGGACTGATCTGTTTTACTGATGATTTAAGTTCTGTTGTTTGAGACTGAAACTGTTCCATATGCTTTCTTGCCGGAATGGAGAGCCAACATGTCTGTAAAGAGCCCTCAGCCCACTTTGAAAAAAGCCATGCAATTCCATGAGCACATTATGGTGAACCACCCAAAAGAAGCACAACACAACCAGAACTGGGGCATAAGCTCCAGGAAAGGAGAGGCTTCACCCCACAGAAGCAAGAGGGCACATTGTCTGACACAGCTATTTTAGTACTAGGCTGTACCTATTTCCAGGGATGTGCAGGCTGATGGCCACACAATCTCTTCAGTGCAGCTAATGGAAGCTTGTAACAGAGACAGGAAGCAGGAATGTGGACAGACAAATGAAATCTGATTTCCAGACATGAGTCAGGCTTTCAAGATTCTTAATGCTTTGTCTAACAGCTAGCTGGTTTTAGCTTATGGAACATTAGAAAGACCAAATATAAATCTCAACATGATACCAATAATAGTATGACTATGTAAACAGGGAAGCCAGAAACCTGCAATGCTCCCTGCCTCCTCATCCTAATTAGCCCACCTGTTATTGAGTGTTCATATTTGCCACGTCATTACTGTGATTGTTTCATAAAACAGTCGATGAGTCTGCTGCCTTACCTGCCTGCCTCAAACCAGTACTTTTAGTCTTCATGTCACAATCTCATGATTATCCCAGCTGGTCCGTGCTTTTGCTCATTCAGTGACAGGCAGTCTGCCTCCTACTCACCTTTTGCTTTATGTCACATTGTTTACAGGACTTTGAACACTGCACATTTTTGTTGACATGTTTAAAATCTGTAGCCACCACACCACAGCCCATTACTCATCAACAGTCTGTTGGTATGGCTCTGATGCTCTGCTAGGAACAAGGAATTTAATTACTTGCATTGTTCTTCAATTCATAAGTTCTTTGGATTTCTTATTCCTTGCTGGGAAGTCTTTAGATGCTATCTTGTTTTTCATAAACAATATTTCTGTGGGTTTTTTGTCCAATGAACTAATTTTGTACATATTAGATTACTAATAATATAGATTTTCTCAGGAAAATCGACACATGAAAGTGTCGACATAATAGGAGAAAGCAGGTTTTAAGACAGAAAATTAATATAAAGAAGTCCATTTAAAATAAATCCATATATAATAGATGGCTGTTCATCTCAAACACAATTTTGCTCTGTCAGAGCACCTTATGGGGAAAAAAAAATTAAGAATATTCTAAACAAATTGGATCAGCAAATATTATTGTGCATAACCAAAACAGAACTCTACTACCCATTTAATATCCATGAGCTTCCTCAAATTTAGATGCTTCAATTACTTTTAACTCTAAACTTCCTCCCCAGGCACAATGGTAATGGTTAATCTTGTAAACCACTCAGCCCTAACTTGAAATCAAATTTGTTTAGCTATAATTTTAAATTTCAAAAGACATAATATTCATTAGTACTATGATTTAACAGTTTCTAACATTAGTCTAGGACTCCATTTTTTATAACTAATACATTAATCCTCTGGGTTAATGAACCAATTAAATTACTATTCTACCTAAATTCAGAAAGCAGAGGAATAAAAAAGTTTACAGTAAAGTATATTCTAGAGCAAAAGAGAAAAAATAAACTGTGGAACCTACCTCATATTCCCTGCCATAATGAGGAACAGGTTATAAATGTGAGAAAATATGAAGAGGAAGAGGATGGTACTGAAGAACATCGTCATCCAAGACCCATGGTCCTCTCGAAACATTTTCAGACGGAGCAACTGACCTATGGTACAAAAATTATGAGAAGGTGTATTTTCATCAGTCAGTAAATACACGTTTACATCATCATAAAACCAAAAGAAACTACTAAACTGTATTTCTTCCTATAGCAAATTATTCCACTGTGTGTGAGGAGGATGTACTTAGCATGGTGCAGATGAACTGCCCTTCTGTAGCTCAGCATGAACAGATATTGCTACAAAATTACAAATCATTTGCAATCCAAAGGGGAAAAAAAAAAGCAACAATAACTCGTTAATATCAGTATTTTTAAGAGATTATGAGAAAGACCACAGGACATAACAATGCGTTTCAAGTGCTAAAAAAGGTTGCTGATTCATACATAATTTTCCTTTTTCATATTCAAGACAGTTTTTCATATCCAAGACAGTTTTTCATATCCAAGACAGTGTGAAGTATTTGAGGTATGTCCACTGACAAATATTATTTGCTTCTCTAATTTAATTTGGTAATCAAATTATGACTCTGTGTAGAATCTTGTACTGTATGTTTTTCTTAGGCCTAATCACTTTAATCATATGATATGGTATTATACTTTATTCTGCAAAGAATACCTTTTTTCAAAGAATACTGGTGTGTCTTGCCACTGGAAAAGAAGCTCTGCTTACTCTTGCCACTGGTGTTAGATGAAACTTTTATAATATTTTTACCACAAACATATTTTTCCTGGGCTAGCTTTTCTTCTCTGTCATCTCTGCCTGTAGAGAAGTGTTTAGAGTATTGAAAACCTCACCAGCACAAGAGATGAGAATTTTTTTTTGCAAGGCTGAGATTGCCATAGCAGAAGCCAAGAAGACAAGGGATAATTCAAGCAGCAAGGTGAAGGACAGCATCTGCCAAGGAGACAGAGCAGTCTGGTGCTAGAAGATGTGAAAACAGGGACAACAGTAGTCATATGAGGAGCTGGACAGGAAGTGTCTAGAAGTGATATAGCAGACTGAGATGCAAAATGGTCTGGGATGGAGGCAATTTCTCTCAGCTGGTTGTTGAACTACCAAGTCCACATTTAGCATTGATTAGGACTGGACACAGAGGAAAGCTATAAAGTGGGAGAAAATAATGAAAAATTTGAAATGCTTATTCAGGCAGACAGGAAGAGTCCAGGACTGGTATTTGCTGCTGAAGATGGAGATGCAGGTTTGGGGGAGGAAGACTTGAGCACCTGGAGCAGACATGGGCTATGGGCTGAAGCAGCTTTGGATTAAGCAGCTGGACGATGAGAGTTCTTTGAAAGAGCTGAGACTTCGGAATGATGTGGGAGCCACGAGGCGGAGAAAGTGACATGTAGGTATAGGGGGGGCTGAATGAAGCTCTACAATGGGACAAGAGCAACACAGGTCCACAGTCCAGTCCAGTGGTAGGCCAGCAACAAGATTTCTGTGAGTGAAGAAAGGTGAAGGAAGGAAAAGTGCAAACACACATGTACATGCCCCAAGCCCCTGTACTCTTCTACGTTTTCACTGCTGGAAACCATCACAACCCCCTGCCTAGCCAGACTGAGGATGTCCCATAAGTCTGTCCTTCCCTAAAGAGCAAGCGGAGGCTGCTATGGCAATAGCACATTATCCTGACTTACTGAGAGGAGTGGCTTAATGACAAAAGATATTTCCCTTGCAGTGTGATAGCTGCTCTCTGAACAGCTGCCATTGCATATGGAATACTACCGACACCTTGGATAAAAAGCAGTACTCGCAAAATAGAGCTGTGATTTCAGGAGGTCCAGATTAATGGAGAGAAAGAACACAGCCTGGAATCTAGACTTCTGTAAAACAGATAACTCCAATTTTTCTAAAACAGGTAAGAGGAAAGATTTAATAAATATTCATTGCACCTGTACTCTCCAAAGCAATGCTTTTTTTCTACTTAGTTATTACACACTGATTAATACCTACTAATATGTATAAATATAATATTCTTAAAATAATATTTTCATAAATACTGTCTTCAGTAGGCAAATTCTTCCACTTTAACTTTCCTTCTACTGTAGCTTGTGTTTGCCATCTATGACTTCATTAACTCTCAAGCAGGGTTCATCAACATAATTTTTTAATGAAAGAAATAGTACTTAATCACAACACTGATATGTATAAATGAAAGGAATTGAATATTAGCACAATCTTCTTACCTAACTGCATACAAATGTTGCAGATGTTATTGTTCCCACTGTACCAGTAAGTATAACATGCTAAATGCACTTAAACTAAAATATGTTAAATGATCCACGTAATGCTCACATTGCTTTATATATCCTTTCACATCAATTCAGTAGAAATAAAAATGGGTGATCAGATGATTGCCTAATAAGGTAAGTTGTTAAAGTAAAAATTGCAAAAATGTTTGTTATTTTTATAACAAAATCTAGGCCTCTATATAATGCTTTGTTTTATAAAATGAGCTAAAAAGTTACACTATGAAAACACACAGAAATATTATGGGGTGTGAATGGTCAGAAATTTGGAAAACCTATCTAGTAACTGGAATAGATTTGTACAAGACTAAAATACAATTCAAAACAGCCCAACAAAATTCTCAGAGTAATTCCAGAAAAATAAAACAGTTAATGTAAAATTAGGGCTTTTACTCTAAAGAATAGCAAACAAAAAGTAGCAAGGGGAAAAGAGAGTAGATAAGGAGTAATATTACACAAAATAAGCTTTTGACTCAACTTTCTTTTTTTGGTTTTTGTTTGTTTGGGTTTTTTTTTTTACTTCAGGAAAAATTAGTTTTAGCTTATTATGAACTTGTTAAAAATGTAAAATAAACTCCAACAGGTATGACAGAGAAGAACATGGTTATTAGGATATATTTACACATAAAAAATTATATACTTAAAAAAACCCTAATAAAGGCGTTAAGCCTAATGGACCTTAGCAAATGCAAGTTAAATGCCATATGAATGACCACCAGTGATAAACTGTGAATTAACTGCATACAAAATTCAAGATTCATATCATAATCATATAATAACATTTCTTAGCTCCACCAGAAGTTTCCTCAAAATGTAATTTCTTACTGGAAACAGGTCTTTTTATCTGCTCCAAAGCTTTGGAGAGCACATCAACAGTACTAGGGGAACACAGGGTAGCACAGATGTCAGCGTTTAGGGTCCTGCAACAAACCAGGCAGTAACCAAACAGTATTTTTTTTCCAGTCCAAGAGAAAAGACAACTCACTAGGCAGATAAAATAAATTGAGTCAAACAGGTTACTTTCTGAAAAACTAAAGTTTTTCCAGTATATTTAGATCCACAGGCCCATAAGACAGTTGCACTCAAACTGCAGAAGCAGAAACAAGAGAAACAGTAAGTTCTTACCCATGCATTTAGCATGCTTTCTTGTCTTAATTATGAGTGATGGAAACCATAAACTTCAACCATTTCCTGGGCATATTTGTAATATTCTAATACCAAGCTCCTCACTGAATCACAGGTATTCCTTTAATTCTGGGTCCCCCATCAAGGGATTGCTCTTTCTGCCCACTTAGTGTTCCAGGTCATCTTCACCTATGACTGAAACTGTTCAGCTGGAAAATTAACTTCAACAAATGGGAAGAATTTTTTAACCTTGAAAACCAATTCTACTTTCTATAGAATTTGGCAAGTCTGATTTTAGTCAGTACTAAAAACATATGCACACTATAAGGCCATGGTGCTGTTCCTCATTCCGCCCCAATTGAATACGTGTATGTGTGCTGGCTGGCTTTGCTTAAGAATACATGGACTTAGCAATGAAGGCTGTAATGTTCAGATTAAGAAAGTCTTAACATACAGATGCAAAATTTTGGATTCAAACTGTGAAGACAATCTAGTATATCCTGTAGCTTGAGTTATTCTGTTGATGCTAAGACAGTAGACAGAAAACTTGCTATTGTCTGATATAAAAAAAGTCACCTCTGAAAATTATTGCAGCACATATCTTCTGGACATCAGGGTAGCTCCAATGGCTTCAGCATAGAGCAGGGCATGCTCCCTGTCTTCCTGCATGCAGTCAGACTGCATCCGTGATTGTATAGGCTTTGAATTCTTCTGACGGAAGACCAGGAGATCCTGGAATAGCACCAAGCTGGGGGTCAAACCCCTTGAGTTTTCCTCTTGCTTATTAAGTTACCTCAGAAAAGGTTCTTTTTATCTCTCCACCTGCATCCCTGTGTCCACCCTCTAAGTCACTCACTTCAGTTGCAAAGCACAGCTTCAAGAACCTAGTCTTATTTAAGGTCTCTAAGCTCTACTACAACACAAAGAATTAACAGGAGACAGCAAAAATATTTTAGACAATTCAAACAGGAATCCCAAGGTAGACATGTGGGAAATGCCTACACAAACAGACATATTTTCTAATGACTCTCTGAGCTCCATATGCACCTTACACAGCTGGGCAGCTCCATCCCCTTCAGCTACAAAACCAAGTTCATGCAGCTCAGCCCTGCGTGCAGCCCAGCAGACTGAAGGCAATGAAGGAGATAGGGGGTTTTGTTTTGTTCAAGTTGGTGACTGCCCTGACAAAGTTATAAGGCTGCACATCCAGACTTTATCTGGCCAACCTGGAGCAAAGCAGAGCAGGTGGCACAGCTGTTTTCCTCCCTCCATTTAGACCTACCTACAGCCGTTGGCCAGAAGCTTAATAAGATCGGGAACCTGGCATTCCAATTCCCTCATGCAGCTATGGCCATACTCTTTGCAGACAGTTTAGGACTTATTTATACTGCCATTTCCAAGGCAGTACACTTCACTGAAAAGGAAGGCAGAGAGGTAGGAAATGCCATTTAATTCCACGAACACACAAACTCTAGCCAAGAGTATTTTAGGAAAATATAAATTTCCTATACCTATTCAAACTACTTTTAATTGAACATATCATGAGATAACATTACTTAACTATCTTTCATGTTTTAAAGGATTTACAGGGGTATCTTATAAATGTCAGAAGAAAACAATTACACAGTTTATGTAATTTTTTATATTCACAAAGGCTAAGGAGCAAGGAA